ACCACTAGCTGGGTGGGCTGTGAGTATGTACACACAGCCCACCACTAGCTGAGTGGGCTGTCAGTACGTACACGCAGCCCATCACTAGCTGGGTGGGCTGTCAGTACGGACACACAACCCACCACTAGCTGAGTGGGCTGTCAGTATGTACACACAACCCACCACTAGCTGGGTGGGCTGTCAGTACACACAGCCCACCACTAGCTGGGTGGGCTGTCAGTACATACACACAACCCACCACTAGCTGGGTGGGCTGTCAGTACGTACACACAACCCACCACTAGCTGGGTGGGCTGTCAGTACATACACACAACCCATCACTAGCTGGGGCTGTCAGTACGTCAGTACGTACACACAACCCACCACTAGCTGGGTGGGCTGTCAGTACGTACACACAACCCACCACTAGCTGGGTGGGCTGTCAGTACGTACACACAACCTACCACTAGCTGGGTGGGCTGTCAGTACGTACACACAACTCACCACTAGCTGGGTGGGCTGTCAGTACGTACACACAACCCACCACTAGCTGGGTGGGCTGTCAGTACGTACACACAACCCACCACTAGCTGAGTGGGCTGTCGAGGCCATGCACACAACCCACTACTAGCTGGGTGGGCTGTCAGTACATACACACAACCCCACCACTAGCTGGGTGGGCTGTCAGCTCTGACACACAACCCACTACTAGCTGGGTGGCTGTCAGTACGTACACACACAACCCACTGCTGGCTGGGTGGGCTGTCCAGTGCACACAGCCCACCACTAGCTGGGTGGGGCTGTCAGTGCATGCACACACAACCCACTACTAGCTGGGTGGCTGTCAGTACAGCACACACAACCACTACTAGCTGGGTGGGCTGTCAATGCTGTACACACAACCCACTACAAGCTGGGTGGGCTGTCCAGTACATGCACACAGCCCACTACTAGCTGGGTGGGCTGTCAGTACGTACACACAACCCACACTAGCTGGGTGGGCTGTCAGTACGGCCACACAACCCACTACTAAGCACAAGGCTGTCAGTACGTACACACAGCCCACTACTAACGTGGGCTGTCAGGTGACACACACAACCCCACACTACTAGCTGGGTAGGCTGTCCCGGTGCATGCACACAGCCCACTAGCTGTGTGTGGGGCTGTCAGTGCAGTACACACAGCTTACTACTGGCTGGGTGGGCTGTCAGTACGTACACACCTGACCCACTACTGGCTGGGTGGGCTTGTCCCAGTACGTACACACACCCACTACTAGCTGGGTGGGCTGTCAGTACGTACACACAACCCACTACTAGCTGGTGCCAGGCTGTCAGCCTGCACAGCCCACTACTGGCTGGGTGGGCTGTCGAAGCCATTACTGACCACTACTGCTGGGTGGGCTGTCAGTACGGCACAGCCACTACTAGCTGGGTGAGCTCAGTACGTACACACAGCCCACTACCTACTAGCTGTAGCCAGGCTGTCTGTCCATGCACACACAACCCACTACTAGCTGGGTGGGCTGTCAGTACGTACACACAGCCCACTACTGGCTGGGTGGGCTGTCAGTACGTACACACACAACCACTACATGGCTAAGGTGGGCTGTCAGGCCACGTACACACAGCCACTACTAGCTGGGTGCCAAGACCAAGTGGGAAGCATTTGGCTGTGGTTGGCGTGGGCTAGCCAAATGGCAATTTTTTAGATGTTGATGAATGGGTCAGGGGAGACCTGTTTATGTGAGGAGGAGGAGGAGGAGGAGAGGAGGAGGAAGAGGAGGAGGAGGATGATGAGGAGGAGGAGGGAGGAGGATGAGGAAGAGGAGGATGAGGGAGGAGGAGGAGGATGAGGGAAGAGAGGATGAAGAGGATGGGGAGGGAGGAGGGAGGAGGGAGGGAAGGGGGAGGATGAGGAGGAAGAGGAGGATGGGGAGGAGGAGGAGGGGAGGAGAAGAAGGAGGATGAAGGAGAAAGGAGGAGGAGGGGAGGGAGGGAAGAGGGAGGATGAGGGAAGGGGAGGATGAGGGAGAAGGGGAGGAGGGGGGAGAGAAGAAGGAGGGTGGAGAGAGGAGGATGAGAAAGGAGGGAGGAGGGAGGGAGGGAGGAAGAGGGAGGAGGAGGAGGAGGAGGAGGAGGATGAGAAGAAGAGGATGAGAGGAGGATGAGGAGGGAGGGAGGGAGGGAGGAGGAAGGGAGGATGAGGAGGAGAGGAGGATGAGGAGGGGGAGGAGGAGGGAGGAGGAGAAGAAGGAGGGAGGAAGAGGGAGGAAGGAGGATGAGGAAAGGGGAGGAGGAGGGGGAGGAGAGGAGGAGGAAGAGGAAGGGAGGGGGATGAGAAGGAGGAGGGAGAGAGGGAGGACGGGGAGGGAAGAGGGAGGATGAGGAGGGAGGAGGAGGGAGGAGGAAGGAAGAGGAGGAGGAGGAAGAGGAGGATGAGGAGGAAGAGGAAGAGGAGGGAGGAGAAGGAGGACCAGGAAAAAAGAACCATTGAAGATTGGGTGGGGAGAGGGAGGAGTAGGCGTAGAAGGACATGGGAGATTGGGGGGAGTAGAAGGATAAAGAGGAGTAGAAGAAGGAGGAGGAAAGAGGGGGAGGGGGGTAGAAGGACAGCGGAAGATTAGGCGGGGAGAGGGAGGAGGGGGAGGGAAAGGTGAGGGAGTGGAGGAATAAGCCAAATAAGGTGGACCTTTTAACAGCATCAAAACAAACGGAGTCCTGTGTTAGTATGGCAGAGAAATTTTATCAATCCCTCCTAGGATTTATCAGGATCTGTCAAGCGTCAGTGATAATAATGACTACTAGTACAGCTGCTGCTGCTTCTGCTAAAAAATAATAATTATAACTCACCACTAATATCAGACACTCGACGTCGTATCTTCAGGAGTGGCCAAAGTCTTCAAGCTGTGAGCCTCCTTCACCAACACCACCCCGACAGGCACTGCACACTCGAGCCTCATCAAGACATGTGTTTCCTGAGAGCTCCAACACAATCAAGGTAACTCACGTGGATTAGGACAAGAACAGGTAATTTGTAGCAAAACATTAACATTTAGTTCAATTTAACGGTAACTAAGAGAGGATAATGTCAAAGAGGAACATAAAAAGTAAAACTAAAAATGTGAGAAAGAAGTTTGTGTTCAGAGAAAACGAGGAAGGGGTAAAACTGACCACTATTGTTGATAACGAATAAAAAAAATAACAAAACATCATTAAGGTGTGTCGTTGAAGATTGTATAAGGAATGTGTTTATTCCGGGGCCACACGTGACTTATCGTCTGCTATTGTGCATACGAGATATTGGTGAATTTATGTAAGTGTTAATAAATATTTCTTTATTTTATGATTTTGAATAAATAACCCAACCCAACCCAACCCAACCCAACCCAGCCCAACCCAGCCCAACCCAACCCAACCCAACCCAAGCGCTTAAAAGAATAATAAGATAGACAGAATTACCTTGAAACAACAACACTTAACAGATATTTATTTCCCCGTCTCTTACATACTTATACTTAACGTTTAAAACAAGACAAACAATTTCATTGTATTTCCGGGAGATGTTTAAATGCGATGTAATATGAGTTTTTTGTCTTCTGGTAATAAAAAAAAAACTTACAGTACCATCAAGGTCGTGTAAGGCGCCGCGGTGTGTGTGTGTGTGTGTGTGTGTGTGTGTGTTGCAAACTATGATCAGGGCCGGATTCAGGAGTGGGCAAAGTGGGCAGCTGCCCAGGGGCCTCCACAATCTGGGGACCTCCACATATTACAATATTTTATTTATTTGCTTATTCATTTGGATTATTTTTATTTTCATTCTTTAAAATTCATATCTATTCCATCACGTAAACTATGTTCAGCAAGAAGCGTGATAGAAATTAGGCTAGCTACTCCTTGAAATTCATGAATACCTGGTTTTCCTATGAACTGTATATTTTTAATGAATGCTATTGTTTGTGTTGCTAATAATATATTTAGAATTCCACAAACATATATGGCTTCAAAATTCTCCAAAGAAGTGTTCAAATTTCAAAATTTTCCCGGGGGGCTTACAACGCCCCCCGGAACTCCCAGATGTTTAGGCTCGCTTCACTCGCCACCCCACCCTCTTGGGTAGTTATAATGAGGGGGGCCTCCCCAAAGAGGCTGCCCATGGGCCTCCACAGGTCTAAATCCGGCACTGAATATGATATAAGAACACTCCTATACAAACATAAGTATGCATACCCCAACAAACACCAGATATAAAATCTTACTTATGTATACTCGGTGTACAGTATATGTATTCATCTATAATATAGATTAAAAAAAAAAAAATAAATAATAAATAAATAAAATTAATAAATATTGAAGTGATAACCGTGGTAACATTATGAGATGTTGTTATTACCACCATGCTATTGTACTATTCCAGATGATACTAAATGTTACATAATACTTCCTTGAGATAAATGTATATTATATATTAGGTGCCTAAAAGAGAGCTCAGGTTCTCAACTGGCTCAGCCATGTTAATATTGGTATTATTATCCACTCTGTATCTGTATTTCAATTCAATTCAATTCAATACATCTATTACATTATTAATCTATTTACCTTTCTACTCAAGTTAATATTCATATGAGTAAATTATCAGACTTGGAGATCACTCAGGGACGCAGGTTATCATTGTGTTTCCTCCTCAGAAGGAACACAATGGGAGTTCTTTCAGGCATCTCATAAAAAAGACGGACATGACCACACATACATACATAAATACAATGAACTGCTGAGGAATACAAGAAAGAGGGTCAAGAATAGATGGGGGGAGGGGTGATGGGAGAGGGAGGGAAGAGGTAGAAGGGGTGGTTGTGGAGGGAGGGTAGGAGGAGGAGGAGGTAAGGGGTGGTTGGGGAGGGAAGGAGGGAGGTTCAGATTTAGTGGTGGTGGTGGAAGGGGAGGGAGGGTCAGTTATAGGGAGTGGTCGAGGGAGGGAGGGGAGGAAGAGTGTGGTACTTAGTGTCCTATTTATTGTGAGGACATTCGTTAGGCAACCAGTTCGTGACGGTGCGGTAAACCAACCACACACACACTCCCTCACGTCCCATCCCCGCAGGAGTTATGGTTAGTTCAGTTTCTCTCTTGTTCTACCGGATTCAGGTTATTCAGGCTTCTTCTCTCCCGTAACTGGTGCTTGAAGAACCTCTTCATCTGATTAGGTCTAAGTCACCATTGCTATCTGGTCGAAGGAGGAAGTCGTCCAACTTAAGTAGCCTGGAGACATTCCCTAACATCATGTGAAAGAGGGAGGTTTAGGTTAGGTTATTGGAAGAGTAAGATGATGAATTGTAAAGGGTGATATGTAATCCAAACTTGAAGAGTACTGTACCTTTAGTAGCAGGGAATGAATGGAAATGATCAAGTAACTTTTACAAGGAGACACTTACTGAGTACCTTTTACTGAGCATCAAGATGTACTTGTGAAAGTGGTTGAACAAAATTCTTTCTTCGTTTTTCTTTTCACTTTGGCCGCCTCTGGGCACTGCACTTACAGAGAGCAGGTAACACTACATCTGTTCATGATAGGAAGGTAAGCTGTAAGTATCTCGTCGAGTTCACTGTGGTATGTAGGTGTGTAGAGTGATACTGGCACGAGCCTATCCTGTGTGACTAGACAGAGATGTGATGATGAATGTTAGCTGAGAGTCGGTGACGTGCCTGGGGTCGAGTTAAGGCAAGAAACATACGCTGGTGTTCTGAGGGAAGTTTAAAGTACGGAAGGTAATATATAAGTTTCTCTTGGTATACACAAACCGCTGATATAGTTTAAGTCTCTCCACCAACCTGAGGAAGGAATAAGAGCTTCACAAGTTCTTTTAAGAAAAAGGCGTGGCTTTTTCTTGTTATGATTTATGTCCATTGATAACAATATAGGTGACGTCATAACTTTATACTGTATACCTGTACACCATTCACATGTAAACATTTTCCACTCCACTCAGAAAATAACTCTAAGGTAATGGTCTTCCACAATATAAAGATTAATGACTCAAAGTGGGAGACTTTACAAAGTTTAACTTACCAAAACACACACACACACACACACACACACACACACACACACACACACACACACACTACCCCCTCTTGCGGCTCCCACCTGAACCACAACAAGACTGACTCACCAGGAGCCAATAATACCAGCACTACTGAATCTGACCTTCATATACTTAATCAATACATTATTATCTTAGAAAATATTCCACTGTTCATATAATTCTCAATAAATAAATATAATTAAATTTGATTGACTGTTAGTATAATGATTTGTGTTTTATTTTTAGTACATCCAGTCCGTTGTTGTGGTGTTGGCCGGGGTGCTGACACTCACCTCCGGGTTAGGAATTGATAAAGACAAGTTGGGTATTCTCGACAGCAGCAACACGAATGTCCAGAAGCCCGGCCTATCACTCGGCAGCAACGGGAAGGGTAAAGAAGCATATATAAACTTCAACATCGGAAGTAACAAGAAAAATCTTCAGTCAGAACCTGGATCCGTCAGTGATACAGAACAAACGAAAGATTCCTTATCTAAAGCCTTGGATTTCATAATTGAACTCAAGCTTGGATTTCTTAAGCTTCGTGAGTAGATGTCGCTAAAGAATTATTCTAAAACCCAACCCAACCGAAGCCAACCCAACCCAACCCAACCCAACCCAACCCAACCCAACCCAACCCAACCCAACCCAACCCAGCCATCACTCTAACCTTACACATAATTTGTTCAAGAAATTCCTGACAAATCTCATCACATCATAACATACAACTTGCAAATCAAAGTGTATTAATACAGTGACAGAATTAATCTATAACATTTATCCTACATATTAATTTTCTACGGTTTGCTCCACGCAGTTGGGTTCCTGTAGAAGGTCTGAGGTGCTGAAGGAGAGCTGAAGGAGGCTGAAGGAGGGTGTGAGCAGCAAGACCTATCTCGGGCTCTCTATGGAGGAACTAAGTGCTTCTGCAAGTGATCATCCTGAACGTGGAATAAGAGGAATCCTAAAATGAATAACAAGGCAGAGAACCACGCCAACCACGCCATGATTAGTCAACTTGGAAGGCTAACGAAAATAAGTTTATTGTTTATCATGACGTGTGTCTGTCCAAGTATCTAGATAAAGTATAATGCAATGACTAACGAGTTTTTCTCAAGCAGGTATAACAGGTAGGGTGACCACATAAGGATGAAATGACCAAGGTGTTAATGCAGGTAAAATATCAAGGTAACGCGGCCTTAATAACTCTATAGGTGCACTTGTTACACTTAGATATTCCCAAGTCCCTTTTAAGATACAAAATACACTAAAAAATTCTCAGGGCCTCTCTAGAAAGATATAAAAGGTAGTTATATAGATAGAAAGATAAGTAGAAAGACAAAGATAAATAGAAATACAAATGGATAAACAGAATGATAGGTGAAGAGAGAGAGAGAGAGAGAGAGTAAGAAAATAATTACATGAGATAGAAACTGTATTGACTAGTTACTAAGATGATGCAGTTTTAAGAGTGGAGAAGAGAGACTGTATGGAAGACAAGAGGAAGAATTTAGAAGATGTTTTGCAGAGTGAGGTTGAAGGAGTCATATGTACCAGGAACAATTTTTTTGAAGTACTTATTTGGTTGTGATGATTCAGTACTTTGAAACCAGTTGGTGTGTGTATGATGAGGAGGAGGTTAGGTTAGGTTAGGTTAGATTAGGTTAGGTATTGGGTGTGAAGTGCAGAGGGATTGGAATATGTGAATCGAAGAGTGTTGTGTGTGTGTGTGTGTGTGTGTGTGTGTGTGTGTGTGTGTGTGTGTGTGTGTGTGTGACAATCATCTATTCAATGAACTACCTTAACAAGACAGACATTTGAGAGAGAGTAGCTGTCAAACTTACAATGTGTTACACACTATATCTCTGACCTTTGAAAATTGAAATCGAGACGACTACCACTTAGAAAAAGTATTGTTATGTCATATTTGGTGATCTGGGTCAATAGGTTGTGATTATATTTATAAGTCATTTTCACTTATGACTTTGAGCTTTCACCTTTCTTTTGACATTGGGTCTTAAAATGAGACAACTCTCACTGGGTAAAAGTTTTATATGGCAGTAAAGTTTTGTTGTGTGATATTTTCGTATTTTGGGCCAGAGTGTTACGCTCGGTCCCATCAGTCAACTGTTTATCTGCTCAATACGTGGTCTTCTCACTCACCTCACTCACTCACTCACTCACTCACTCACGGAGAAAATAAGACCTTCTACACTCAATTGACTCAGATGAATACGAGTTTATTTTTCGTCGTTAACCCTACTCACTCTCTCAACAGAAGGTCCTCTAGGTGGGTAAAGGTGCACTAGTTTTTGTCACGTGTTTTCACCTGAACAAGAAAATAATTTTTCCACAGTAAAACGGACCAGAAACTTTTGAGGATGTGTATAAGTGTGTTGGTCCTGTGGCTCATCCGAGGAGTATCGACCATTGTTGGAGTGTCGACAGACCATTGATAAGGTGTCGACTATTGTTGGAGTGCCGACCATTTTTGGGGTGTCGACAGACCATTGATGAGGTGTCGACCTTTTTGATATTGTTGGAGTTTCGATCATTTTTTGGAGTGTCGACCATTGTTGTGGTGTCGACAATTGTTGGGGTGTCGACCATTGTTGGGGTGTCGACCATTGTTGGAGTGTCGACCATTGTTGGAGTGTCGAATATTGTTTTTTGTCGACAGACCATTGATGAGGTGTTGACCATTTTGATATTGTTGAAGTGTCGACCATTGTTGAAGTGTCGACCATTGTTGGAGTGTCGATCATTGTTGGAGTGTCGACCATTGTTGGAGTGACGACCATTGTTGGAGTGTCGACCATTGTTGGAGTGTCGACCATTGTTGGAGTGTCGACTATTGTTGGAGTGTCGACCATTGTTGAGGTGTCGACCATTGTTGAGGTGTCGACCATTGTTGAGGTGTCGACCAGTGTTGGAGTGTCGACCATTGTTGGGTTTTCGACAGACCATTGATGATGTGTCGACCATTTTAATACCATACAACTTAGGGATGATTAAATTCTTTCTTTCAAGGCGTTTAACAATATGACTTTTATTTACTATATAAAAAAATCTTGCTATTGTTAATGATGAATAACTCTTGAATATTATTATCTGAATATTAATGAATAATATGACTCTTGAATATTAATTAATAAAATGACGAATGTTTTTGGTATTCTGGAGGTCGTAAATGAAAGGGTTACATATGTCACCTTTTTCTTACAAATGACTGTGTATAGGCCTATCGCAACTGTTTTCCCGAGAGTAAGTAAATTGCAATACAAAATGCCACACTGAGTAAGAACAAGAGATGTATGTTATCTACACTGAAGCCTTGTTGATATTCAGTGTAACCATAAATTTTCATAGAGTCTCACAGTCTTTAAGGGAGCCCTCTGGTGATGGGGGGGGGGGGGGGGAGGCAAAGACAAAGAGAAAATGTTCGTCTTAGGAATCTGAAGTAAGTCACTAAACCATTGGATGAGTTGAGAGAAGACGAGAGAATGAACCTCCATTGTAGTCTAAACTGAATGTTTTAAAAGTCAACCGGAATATATACCTTGTTATACCTACACTGTTATATACCTTGTTAATCTATAGTCATCATCTCTTTCTGTGCGCATTATGACGTCATTAGAAGTTATTAATTACAGTATATTTCAGGAATACAGTTACGGAAACGCTCCAACATTACCAATACTTGTGAAGGAAGGGGATATAAGAATGACTACTGAAATAACACTTTCTATTTATTATTCATAGAAGAGCATTTATAAATTCCAAGAAAGTTCAAGAAAGTAACTCAGTGAAATATGGTGACAAAGGTTTGGTACAAAAGCATATAAAAAAAATGACTAGTTAACTAAGAACAAGAAATTACCAACGACGACAACATCTTGATCTTCAGAATAAAGTAAAAATACATTTCTATATACATTTTTTAACTAAGAAAGAGAAGATATTATACAGTAGAGAGTCACGTAATTTTAGCTTGACTTGTCTCTTAGTTCAAAACATCATAATACTGTGAGTCTTGAAGTATAATAACAAGTATAAGCCCCAATCACATGACTGACCAATGAGGAAGGTTTATTGAAACTCCAGAAACAAGAAAATATAAAGTTAGAGATAATTAAATTTTAAGAAGTTCAAGAGACCACAGCCGCTTTCAATCACTGAGCCGGAGCTTACAGTCTTCTGGGAGTTAAGACGCGAACTGTGACTCCGAGATGCCGACCACCAGCTCAGTGCTTGACTGTTGAGGAGAAACACAAGACAATTATTATTATTTTGATGCTGGTTTTAAGGTGTCGACTTTTTTCATGTTATTATATGTGAATTAAAAGATATTTATTCCTCAATTGGATGTTGATTCTGCATTTTGTGTGTGTGTGTGTGTGTGTGTGTGTGTGTGTGTGTGTGTGAAGAGAATATTAGCTGTTTAGCATTAGACATCACCCACATGCATAATTATACATACACACTGCCACATGTATGCCTGTATATATATGTAAACGAAGAAATTACAATGGGTAGGGCTGGCGATACACTGAGAATAAACTGAGGTTCTAACCAATGACCTTTGGGAAAAAAGGCAAGACCTGCACCCACTTGTTTTCCAAGACTTTGCTAAACGAGGCAGTCAGAGGAATAAGTGAAGGATAACCAACGCCCAAGACAAGATATTTCCTGTTCAATACTCACGGAGACCAAGGAGGAGCCCCATTTTGACTTTCTTCAGCACCTTAGCGGTTTTACCCAGCAGTCCAATCTTTCCAGCACCATGAAAACTTGACAGTTTCCGGATACCGTATTCACCGCTGTTTTGATGGCGCCCGTGACCGAATCCGTCGTCATATCCGCCGCCGAGGAGTCCAAAGCTGCTGCCATCATCCCCAAACAGTCCGTCATCGCCAAACGAAAAGGCGGCGACGGCTGACACCAGCAGGAAGAAAAACAACACGACTCTCTGTAACAAAGAACCTGAGTCAGTTTATCAGTCGAGGCAGCTGGAGGTCTGTTGGTCCACCTTGTGACAACTTCTTAGTGAACAACAGGAGAAGAATACAATGAAGATGAAAGTAATTAATTATTTAACTTGAAAGATAAAGAGATATAATGAACATATAAAGAAGTGAATGAAGGAATAAGAGAATCACGGGAAAAAGAACACGAACGACTAATTTGTTATAGTAAAAGGAAATGGTTGGAGTTACTGTATGCGTGACAGAGGAGGTGTGGGGGGATGAGGGAGACATGAGGTGGAGTATGTCAGGTGGTCAGTGTGAGACAGTTGAGGGAAGACTTGTAGACACACAGAAAACAACAACAAGTTTAGAGCATGTGAGAGGAGCTGGCTGGAGGAGACACTGAAGATGTATTGGGGAGAAAGTGATCGTCACTTTATTGCAGTTGAAGAAAGAGGTTAGGTGATAGGGAGTCATGTTAGGGGTAGTGTGGATACAGCACTCTGTTCCTTAAAACTTTGTTCGGTATACAAGGAGGGAGTATATCCGACATTACACTCGACCGCTTTCAAATTTTCAGTTGTAACGTTAGGTACCCATTCACAAGTGGGTGAACTGAGGGTGTCCCGGGCTAAAGCCAGATACCCTTTATAATAGGAGACGAGCGCTGTATCCACTCGGCTGCTGCACCGCGCATTGTACGTAAACCGAAACACTGACGCACACATAACCATTTCACTATAGAGATATTCAGAAAATGAAAAGTAAAATCTCAAAATTTAGTTTCCAGACGTTACTCGGGGAGGACAGGAGACACTAACCATGGCTGATGAGGCAGCAGTAGGCAGGTGGGGGATCCGTCAAGGTGTGGTGGCGAGACACAATTCGCCAGACATATATATACTCCTCCTCACCCTCAACTTGCCATCCCGAAGTGTTACTATCCCCTCCCCCCTCCCCCCTAACAACTTATACTTAAACTCCAGGGTCTACCAGGTTTTTTCCTGCTTCTTTTTTTTTTTGCCCCAACGGAGGGAGAAAACCACACCATGAAATAGGATAATCCTCTCCAACTCAACTATCACCAAATAACCACGAAAGTACTTATTGTAAAATTAATCCTAACGTTAAA